GTACACACTTACTTGCTGGATAGGTGATAACATGTCGACGTTCACCATGAGCGCTGTGACCCGTGATTGTTGCTTTATCCTTGCCAAGGCTTCCAGCTGACCAGTGCCCCATACTCTTTTCCTCTTAGTATTATAATCCACCCCCATTATAGTCGATCTGAAAGCGTCATATTTAGCGTGCGAGTAATAGAGGGGAACTCTACAAACAATAAATGATATAAGTATAATGCCATGAATCTATAATAACTCAGGGATTTTCCCGGTGTACAGGGGGGGGGGGCAAAAAAAAGTCATTCCGGCCGAGTCACATATGAGCGAAGTTTTCGCAGCCCAGACAGAGGAAGTGGATATGAGTACCAGGGCGGAAGATACCAAGATCTTCCTCTATAAGCAGGAGCCGGCTGCCGCCATTCACCTTCATGTACACCAAAATATGAAGTCATCTCCAGTCGCGGCCTGAGTGGAGAACGCCTTTGGAATTCACGTGGCCTCCAAACAGCTGCGGAACTTCTTGAATGAATCACCCATGGATAGCTACCGCTTGGACGAGTACTCTTGATACTGCAAGACCGCGCAAACTTGGAGACCTTGTGCTGCTACAGGTTTGGGTGCCACCACATGGAAATGAAGGGTTTTGGAAAAACTCCCGCCTACTTCGAATGGAAAGGGCGTTTCGTACCTGAGATGTAATATTGAAATATGTCCCCTGACCTGAACCCACTCAATTACCTAGTTCGGGCGGAGCTCAACAGGGTGGTCTACAGTGGCGGAGAAATCAACGATCTCGCTCAACTCCGGTACCCACTCACTTTCGCGCGGCCGAATCTCTCGATGGCGCTCCTCCAGAAGGCTGTGGCGGAGTATCATTATAGTATTTAATGTGCTCTTTAATATGGTAAAATGTCCGTAAAAATTTTGAAAGAAGTGATACTTATACGCGCTTGAAAAGTCATGGAGGCAAAATGACTTTTTTTGCCCCTCCGCTGTAAGTGGCAAAGTTTCTGTCAGGTATACTCAGACCTTCCCAGCGGCTGGTAGCGGCATGACACTTTAGGCGAATTGCTCCCGAGACTGGCTGTGAGGGAACCTCACCTTAATTTGCTAAAGTTTTCGCAGCTGTCACTGTGCGAACTACAAAATCAAGGTTCGCCCAGACTTCAATTCGCACTTAAACGATTGGCTTGATTATTGCAAGGGATAAGAATTTGCAGCTGTCTAAAGTCTATTGTAGCAGGGACCTTCGTTTTATACTTCCAAGACTTGAGGCGATTCATCCGCAATGCGTCGACGCGTTTATCAATCAGCACATCTTAATACCACTGGAACAGGGCTCGAAAAAATTTCTTGCTGACTGGTGTACTGGATTGACAACTGCAGGGTTCAACGATTAGCTAGCGCGGGCCTCACAGTTCTCAAACCGCTTGGCTAATCGCTGAAGTCGCGAAGCATGAAAGAAACCCCTTGCCTGCTTACGTGTATAATCGCGCGCGGGACGGCGAGGCACCACGCTGAAGGAATTTGGCCGGACTCTAGGATAGTTCAGCATGGTACTTGCTCGGAAAAAAAGGGCAGGACGTTCGCCGGCAACAGCTGGCATAACAAAAAAAGACGCTCTCACTTCAACAAGAACGAATATTGGGTACTGCCAGCTTAAAGGAGAATGAAAACTTACTCTACAACACGGTAACCTGGCAGTGTGTTTACAAGAGTGACGGCTTCCTCAAGTTGCCTTTGTGGGTCCTTGAGCTTTGAAGCTGAAGACGATCCCCATCGCACCTGAACAACATTTGCGTCAAATCGAGATATTTTTTGACAAGGTCTCACAAAATTTTGTGTTCTTAAATCGTCCGATAATATGGTCAAAAAAAGGAAAATGGGCTGATGTCATTACTCTGCATCCTTGATGCTTTCTCATGAACGTTGCCCTTGCGGATCCTGGTAAGGCATCACAAGAACACAATGAATCAGGACTGAGATTCGTTCGCTACGGCTGCGTTTTCTTACCATCTGAACACGAACGACAGAAGCTGCTGGGATGCTCTGAGACGCCACATGGCCTTTGCTACCTTTGAGTAGAAACTGCCAGCCCAACTTGGCTTTGAAGAAAAATTGTTGAGAAATTTGGAAATTTTACAAATATTCGAAAATGAAGCGGCACGATACAAAATACTTCAAAATAGATTATTTATCAAAGAGTTCCCTCACCTTCGGGTGGACAACCATGAAATCATGGACAGAGCGTCCGCTTGAGGACTGCTTTGTCCAGTATTCCGGCACAGTTTCGTCAGCGAACGTCTCTTTTAGAAGAGCGCCGTACCTGTACTGCATACCAGTACGTTATTGACAAAAAAGTGTTAAACAAAATGCAAACAAGTCGAAGCGAAAGAGGAAGTTTATGCTCATAATTTGCGACACTGGAGAATCGGAGTGCACGCGAAAGGAAAGTGTGGATCACTCTAAGAATCGAAGATAACCAACACGCATCCAGTATTTCTTGCAGTTCTGATCCTCAGATGGACACATTTAGCTGATAACGTCGCAGTCAGTAGGGGCGATGTTGGGAGGGGCGAGATGAGCCCGTCTCTCGCTACTCTGCTCTACCAATAGTGAACGATTGGTGGTCGATTCAGAAAGAAAACAACCAATAGTGACAGAGCCGCTGGTGGGCTCATTTCATCCCCTATTAAAGCAGACCCGTCAGATTGCAACGACATCAATTGATCATCCAAATTTCGCGATTCCCCGATCCTCCAGTGTCGCGAGGAAGCCCAAGCAAGAAAAGATGACTTAGTACATCCGAAAAAATCTTACCGGTCATCAATCGAAGCGTTGGATAGAGCCGGCGTGAAGAATACGAAAAAACAGCGACCTACTGGTAACTTGCGGATAAAGAGTTGCTTAATAAGCATCGCGGCTTTTGCTGAAAGAACCATTAATCCTCATGATACACAAACTGACGTAGCATCGAGCAACTACGGCAAAATGACATGAAAAAGTCATCATTTCTTTCAGGAACTGAGCAAAGCTAAAATTCTTCCCGGCATAGATGCGTAGGGCATCGAAACAAAGGCGCAGGTCGAAAAGTAAGATGTAGCTGCAAGCGGTCATAATGCATAGAGGCATTCGAATCTGACCGTGTATGCGATCTCATCGTAGCTCTGACCAACGTCCTACGTTGGGGACCTCGACGCAGAGGAGGTTGTAGTTATCCGCTGGAAGGAAGGGATCCGTAGCTGGTCCGAGAAACATTTTTTGATAGTCAATTTTTCTGATTCGCGGGCGCTATTCACATCACTGGGATAATTCCAATGGGGAGGGGGAGGGGCGGGGTCGTACTTGCGTTTGAGAGTGTCTTGCCTTGTCGCATTGCGAAAAAATCTTTGCAGTTGTTGAGTTTT